CCGTTCAGTAAGCTATAAATACCAGACATGACAAAATGTAAAACAATTCCAAAGAGAAAACCAAAGGCCTCATTTATGATGAAACAATGAAGGAAAAACAAATCTGATAGCAAACAGTGACAACCATTGAAAAACATGCTGCTGACTTGGTACAGGGTACTTATTGACAATAATGTTTATAATTGAGTGGTTTTGTGTTAAAATCAATAATAATGCCCAACATAATGTGCTGTTTATATAAGTTATTTCATAGAAAAGTATCCCGAAAACACAGATTTAATACTTAAAAATTTTCATGCTACTACTAGTAGAATTGGTCTATTGATCAAATTAACTATATATTTAGTTCAGATAACTCTTATCGAAAAACAGCTTTACTATCAAAAACGTAATTTTTTGAAGATTTTTCCAATCCTATATATTAAGAAAAGACGTATTCTTACAAAATATCAAGAATATTCTTCTAAATATATAAACTTTAATAATATTTCTGTTGTGAGACTAATTTGACTTTATTCACTGTATTGTTTGTTGCAACGGTAATTTATGTATGTTTGTGAGCTTTGATTGTCTGAAGTTAGTATTTGTCCATAAACACATCGTTATCTAAACTGAAGGCAAAGTAACAAGTGTACCATATAAAAGTCTTTAAAGCATTGCTCAAGGTAGGAAGCCTAACTTTACCCTAGTAACTGAAATACTTATGCAAAAACTTGCCATTTATCATTGATCTAACACTAGTCATAACTAAAAAAGATAGCATTTAATTTAAGGTAATATCCAAGAACATTTGAGCGAGAGGTGGGGGGTATAACTATTAATTCCCCCCCCCCCCCCCCAAACAAAATGCCCCTGGTATAACAAAAATTACAGAGGAAACATTTTTACAAATAATAACTTCTTTTATTTCTAAAAAATGCCAAGGCGTGAAATAATTTGAGAGGAATCTACCTGAGATCAACAATCATTTAGTAAAGCCACTATACTTGTCTATTTCACTATCAATAAAAAAAAGTTAAAGAATAATTGTATTTAAAATAAATAATTAAATATATAGTGAAATTGTAGGTAGATTTTGAGAGTGGGAGATCTTTTACATATAGCCAAGTTAAAGAGTATGCTGTTAGGATTGCTAGTGCTCTAAGAAAGCTTGGATACAAAAAAGGAGATATTGTCGCAATACATGCTACAAACAGTCCAGAATATGCTATATTACTGCTTGCCCTGCCTGCTGCTGGAATCACCATTACAGCATCGAATTCCTCTTTCACAGCTGGTAGGTTACAGTAGAAATGTCAATTAACGTTTGGCAATTAAACCATTGAAAAAAGAAAATGTTAAGTTCGAAACATTTTAATAAAAAAGTAAAATAACAAAAATACCGAACTCCGAGGAAAATTCTAAACTGAAAGTCCCTCAGCACATGCCTAAATCATAAGCTTAAACACATCAAACGAATGGATAACAACTGTCATATTCCTGACTTGGTACAGGCATTTTCTGATGTAGAAAATGGTTTTATAGCTAGTTAAACCTCTCACTTGTATGACAGTCGCATAAAATTCCATTACATTGACAATGATGTGTGAACAAAACAAACAGACATTATAGGTAAACATGTCAAAAATAGGGGTACAGCAGTCAACATTGTGTTATAATCTTAATCACTACAAAAACAAGCAAATATGTCAACAAAGACAAACAAAAAGGCATATAGACAAAGCACATTAGCAAAAAACGAAAGACAAGAATACAAACATTTACCATAGCACAACAACACAACGACGGGATGTAAAAGTACCGAACCACGTCAAATGAATCACTACAAAAACAAGCCAATATGTCAACAAAGACAAACACAAAGGTATAAAGACAAAGCACATTAGCAAAAACGAAAGACAAGAATACAAACATTTACCCTAGCACAACAACACAACGACGGGATGTACAAGTACCGAGCCACGTCAAATGAATCACTACAAAAACAAGCAAATATGTCAACAAAGACAAACAAAAAGGTATAAAGACAAAGCACATTAACAAAACGAAAGCCAAGAATACAAACATTTACCATAGCACAACAACACAATGACGGGATACTGCCAAAAATAGGCTAAACAGTAAAAGTAATAATTTACAGAGACAAATAAAAGAATACTATAACACGTTATTAAGATGATAAACAACGTCAGTACCTAGAATTTATACTATATACTATCCATCATGTATTATTTGTGAAGTTGATATGGAATATTTATCAACAAGGTCTTGGTATCTTCCGATGAACTTTTTTAGAAAAAGGTCGAGTCGTTCTTTGACATACCCTTGATTGATCAACTTTCTGCTCAGACCCTGGTGACGTTTTACAAAGTCTGAGTAGCAGCTGCAAGCTCTTGAATGTCGAAGGAGTTGGGAAATGTATATCCCATACGCAGGTGAAGTTGGTATATTGCTTCTAAGGTGATAAGATCATCTTTAAGGGTATAAAAAAGGCATGATACATTTGGATAAGATGACCTTATATGGATATAAATAAGGGACATTATAACTTGATAATCCATATGCATATTTTTCATGTGAAAAACTTTCCTTTCAGCGTTTAAGACAATAAGATATGTCTTCATTTTAGGAATTCTTTTTTAACATGAGAAGGTAAATTATCGCAGATTGCACCTCATACGTATTTATAGAAAATCATACAGTTATTGTTAACAAATGTATCTACTGTGAATGTTTTATCAAATGCCTGAAATTGATATATCGCATACACAAGTCTATCAACCTGACTATGCGGTATGGGTTTGTCTCATTGTTGAAGGCCTTCATTGAAAATAAAAATTAAAACAATTTCCTTGTTGTAGTATTTTGAATGATTTCTAGGTTTGAATCAGTCGATAAGTTAGATAAAATGTTTTAACGATTTACGCAAATAATTCATTTGTTTACCACTTATTAAAGAGGAGCTTGCCAGAAATTTAGATTTAACAGAAGCCACATGCGTCGTGACGACACCAACACTTTTACCTGTAGTGACGGAGGCATTAATATCCAACTTTAAAATACAAACCAATATCAAGGTATGGTAAGGTAAAAACATTGTTTTTCTGTTTTATATATCTTTTATATCTCTTTTATGTATATATGTGTGGGTGTGTTTATGGTGTTGTTTTTCTTTATTCGAAAATATCATTATAGGCGAGGGTGTATAGTGACTGCTGTGTCCGTTCAAAAGTCAAATCGTTCGTATTCTCCCCTATCCTGTCTTATCTTTGTCTTTTCAACAGAAAATCAATTCCAATTTTTATGTTTCTTTTGTAAGTCTGGTTGGATATTGTGCTATGTCTTATCGTTTGTGGTATAAATTCTGTACTTTCGGTACATTTCACATATGTCTTATTTGTCAGTATAGTCGAGTTACTCGAGGTTCGTCTACTGTGTTTTTTGTTTTAGGTTGTTTGTTTTCAAGTGTGTTTACTGTTTGGTCTTACATCATCTTGCCTTATATAACATTTATTTTAATTAATTTTTTATATGTATGTAAAAGTTAAGATAATAAATAAGCTATTTCATTTATATGATCTTAAGATTAAAGCTACTATATGCACAGGATTTTTTTGTTTATACACAGTTTTGAATAATAAGAAAAATCAACATGGTTAGAAAATACAAATAATAACACAATTACAAACACAATTCCATTTTAATATTCTTGTCATGGTTAGAAAATACATAAAATAACACTCAATCCCAATTTTATACGTGTCTACAATATTACAAATATATTCTATTTTTAGAAATTTACTTGTGATAATACAAACGTCACAAAAATACGTCACTTTTTTGTAGCGTTGATACATTCGTGTGACGCACAGTTTATACTTCTTTTGTCGTGTACTGGTGTACTGTCGTAAATTCATGGGAGGTGTCCGTTGTTATTCTGTGGTTTACATGTTGTAATAGACTATTATATTATTTATATATATGTATTTCTCTGTCCTGGGTGTTCTTGCGTTTATTTTAACTGTATTCCTGTCACGTAATGTTGACATTTTAGCGGTATTTTTAACATTGTCATATAAGCGGGAGGTTTGGCTAGCCATTAAACCAGGTTCAACCAACCATTTTGTTTCTTAAAATGTCCTGTACCAAGTCAGAAATATGGCAGTTGTTATCAAATAGTCCGTTTCTATGTATGTTGGCGTTTGTTTTTGTTGCAGTTCAGTGTTACTGTTGTTCCATTGTTTTCTTTTTACAGTTGATGTGTTTCCCTCGGTTTTAGTTTATAACCCGGAATTGTTTTCGCTTAATCGATTTATGACTATTGAACAGCGGTATACTACTTTTGCTTTTATCTTAAAAAAACATTTCATTCGTTATTTTTTTAAGTGTTGCACATAAAAGGAAACTTGAAGTAATTCAAACGTATTCTCCGAGAAAATATTTGGTTGCTAGATCATTATCTGTCGTTTTATGTCGTATATTTGTTAATCTGCTGGTGTTATTCATCAATATCAATCTGTCATTCAATCAAAATGGCAAAACAGAGAGTTCCAATGAAATTCAACTTGGGTTAGTATCTCTTAAATGGCAACTGCACAACTAATTAGATCAAACTTTAACTGGGTTTTAACATATCCAATGAATTGTTCAAATGTGGAATCTCTAATTGTAATACATTTTCTCTGACTATTAAAATAGGCAAAACAAATTTTATTCAGACGCAGACGTCATACATGCACCTTCCATGGACAAATAGTATATAAATATGTATAAAAGCAGATTATGGATGGTATACATCCATAAGACAGCAATCGACTGACACTAAAACATCAAACGATATTTCCAGTTTTGCTCAAATGATTTTGATCAGTCAATAGGTTAACATTACTACACGTAAACATGAAAAGAGTCTAATCTCATAATGCATTTGTTATTTAGGGGGAAGGAGACTACACGTAATTATAATGAATAGGGAAAAAATGCAGTGTTTTCTAATACAGGA